GACCCTGAACACACAGATATCTATGGGATTAAAGGCGTGTGCCACCACCGCCACACTCTTGCTATGGCTCTAATAGCTCTGACCCCCAGACAACTTTATTTATTAAAATACAATCAAATTAATATTTCAGTACAAATCAAAATAATATTTCAATACAATTAGATTACCACCACATTCTTGTGCCAAAACTCGAGTGTGGAAGACAAACAGCAACATCAGGTGTTGAGCTTTAGTTTCTACCTAGTTAGAGACAAAAATCTCTTTCTTCTTGTTCATCACTGTGTGTGCCAGATTAGCTGGTCCCAAGCTTCTGAGCATTTTTCTGTCTCCACCTCCCATGTCATAGAAGGAGCACTAGGGTAACATATTTACTGTATCACCAGCTTTGAATATTTCCTGAGGATTCAAACTCAGGTCCTCACACATGCAAGGCAAATGCTTTCCACTGAGCCATCAATTGAGCCTAGCTTTCACTCTCTTTAAGTGGCTTAATTCTGTCATGAACTATGTAATTTACTTTCTCTCTACTACTTCTCTGTAGATCATTTACCCCCAACTTTGAATCAAATTTTAGATTCCTTGAATTCATGTGTCCCACTTCTCTCTTCCTAGCTTAACTCTTAACTTCACTTGTAACTTGGTTTAGTTAGTTCTTCAGATAATGCTCAAAAATGCAATTGTGCAATTGAGGCTGAGAAATGTAGAGAGATCTCTACACCAAGAACAGTGAGGACACTGTGACTGTTGAGAATACATCACAGTAGCCCTAGGAATGTAAATAGAGCTTTGGGGTGAAGGTGGAATGCTATTCCTGGAAGGTCTCTAGTAGTCTGTGATTAGGAGGTTAGGGTATTGAGGAGTCACTATTGAGAAGTCTTGGAAACTTAGAGGTGGATGACAGGTTAAGGGGATCTCCCTCTGTAAGGGTTAAGATAGATATTTAGACATGATGTTAATATAAAGTTCAAGCATGGCCATGCAAATCCCCGCCCCCCGCCCGGCTTACTGTATTGGTATGATTATTTTCCCCAAAACATGCCTCCATCATTGTAGCCCACCAGGAGGATGTCTCTATAAGGCAACAGGGTAAATCTGTGAGATGATAAGTTTACTAATGAACTTGATTTAATCAACTCACTATCTTTGTGTATGTGTCAAATGTCACATTGAATAGTGTAAATACAGGTTTGATTTTTCTTAGTAAAGCTGACATTTGCAGAAAATTGAAGAATATCAGACAGACCTCACTTTCATCCTTTATAATCAATGCTTTCCTTCTCCCTTGACAAAGTGCCATTTGGATCATGGTTTGAGCACACCTGTGCCTGGCTGTCCATGAGAGAAACAGGCAACTTCTTGCTACTGAGCTATGAAGACATGAAAAAGGTAACTCATTGTTACAGCAATCACAAAGCCTCTCACAAACTTAACCCATGCAGCACCTCACATTCTTCAGTATCCCCATGTCAGTGTTAGGTCAATGAAGAGTCAATAAAGGTAAGAATATGTCCCATGTCCTTTATTGAGCTGCATCTGGCATTTTCTCTCTAGCCTCCTTGTCTATCACCCACAACTTCTTTACCCAGCTGCCCCATGGGGTAGGGTGGGGTAGCTCACACTTGCACTATAGGTCTTTGGATTCTGTCTATGCAACACATTCCATACACATAATAACCTAGTGGTCAGTGGGGAATGGATAAAGCAGTGTCATTCCACTGTTGAGCCCAAATGCATGTCATCCCCTCTTAATAGCAAGAAGAGAGACAAAAGCAGAAAATCCATCTGTGAATCCAGGGAGAGCACAAGTGCTGAAGTTTCATGAACAGCACTGAGTGATACTCAAATCTGACTAGGCATGCACAAGATGTAGCCAGTCAGGGATGATTGGGTACTTTGCTCTGCAGTACAGAGGGTTCTGCATGGTGTGCTAGAATATACTGGAGATTTCAAAACTCTTGGTATAGAATATCTAAAATGTTGCAACATTTACTAGTGACATATGTCTAAATAGACACATCAGCCATATCCTTATCAGATCATTACAGGTTTCATTTCATTGAAATGCCCCACAGATATTTAGCAATATGTTCAAGTACTGCCTATGTGTCTAAAATATGTTATTTTAAAAATTAAAAAAAATGTTGGCAAGGCATCACATGATTCTAAAACTAGCACTGGGAGAGAGAGAGAGTGAGAATTAAGGATTCTAGGTTATCCTTGTTTGTATAGTGGATTTGAGGTCAACCTTGGCTAAAGGAGACATCGATTCAAAAGATCATTAATTAAATTAATTTTAAGGTCATTTGGGTATTTTATTTTCATTTAGTTAAAAAATTCTCCCTCTACTGATGGACACATAATAATGACACCAAGCATACAAGCACAATAATATTCACATCTGATCAGCAACTCAAAACTTTAAGTAGTTTGGAAGTTATCAGTAAAAGGTAACCAATATTTATATATCACAGGTAAAATTTTCAAATGTACAAGAAAAAAATTATGCAGTCTATCAGAGAAATCACTTCCCCATCCTTAGAATAGTTCAAAAATTTAGTTAAGGAGGAAAAGAAGCAAACTTACAGCCACTGTATACCTTTCTAAAGTAGACTCTGGTGATGATCAAGGTTACTGATAGCTGTAACTTCTTTGTTTTCATTTTTAATTCTCTTACAAAATTTTTTATTATGTAAAACACTTTAAATTTAATATTTTGATCATATTCTTTATCTCTCAAAATTTCTTCGAAGTTTTCTCTTACTCCTTACCCACACAACCTTAAATTCTTTCTGAAAAAAACAAACAACATCCAAATAAAACAAAATTCACCCTGAAAAACAAAATAAAACAATAACCAAAAAGAAAAACAACACTAAACTGCAACCAAATAAAAGCACGCGCGCACACACAAGTGCGAACACACACACACACACACACACACACACACACACAGAGACAGAGACAGAGAAATAAAACTCTGGATTCTATAAAATGTTGGGCAACTACACCTTCACATGAAGACTTTCCTGGAGTGGTTGATATATCCAGTGCAACTTCATTGGAGACAGTGGATTTTTCCTCTACCAGCAGGTATAAATGACATTTCAATTGTTAACTAACCTTTACTCTAGTGGCTAGATTTTCACTATTCATTTCTTTAAAATATAACAAAATAAAGTACAATATGATAAAATAATATTATGACCTCAAAGTTGGACAAGACAAACCAACAGAAGGAAAAGAGCACAAGTGAAGTCACAAGCAGAGACCCACATGTTCAAACATCCAGGAAGTATATAAAGTCACTCAAATGTAGACCATAACATATAAGCAGAGGATTGGTGCAGACTGGTGTGGCACTTCCCATGCTGCTCCAGTCCAGTGTGGTTCATAAGAGCCTTTTTATTTTGATAAGAATGGTTATGTTTTCTTAGTGTCCTCCCTCCTCTCTGGATCTAACACTCTTCTTCTTCTTCTCCTTCTTCTTCTTCTTCTTCTTCTTCTTCTTCTTCTTCTTCTTCTTCTTCTTCTTCTTCTCCTCCTCCTTCTTCTTCTCCTCCTCCTCCTACTCTTTCTCTCTCTCTTTCTTTCTTTCTTTCTTTCTTTCTTTCTTTCTTTCTTTCTTTCTTTCTTTCTTTCTTTCTTTCTTTCTTTCTTTTTCTTTTTCTTCTTCTGCGTTATTTGAGCTCGAAAGTGAGAGATTGGGTAGAGACATATCATTTAGGGCTGATTGTTCAAAATATTTCAAATTCTGTGTATTGTCTGTCTGTGGATCTCCATATTTGTTCCCAACTGCTTTGGGAGAAATCTTCTCCAATGATAGATGAGCAAGGCACTAATTGAGCACAGCAAAACACCATTCAGAGTCCTTTTTTACTAATTTTTTAGACCAGTATTATTTGGTTTTACCATAGGTCCCTTGGCTACCTAGTCTATGGTCACAAAAGCAGTGTCAGTTATCTGTTCCACCTTGGGGAGTGGGCCTTAAGTAAAATCAGTTATTGGTTGGTTACTTCCATGAGCTTTCTGGCAACATTATCCTAGCACATCTTGCAGGTGGGACTATGTAAATGGATTTTTTTTGTCCTAAATGCTGGTCTTGAATAACCAACTCAGAGTCTAAATGTGAATTATAAATGCTTGGCTGACAGCTCAGGCTTGTTACTAGCTAACTCTTACCTTTAAATTAACCCATTTTTATTAATCTACATATTGGCAGGTGTCTCATAGCTTTACCTATTCTCTAGAATGTCTTGCTTCCTGGCTGGCTGGCTGACATCTCTCCTGAACCTGCTTTCCTTCTTCCCAGAATTCTCAGTTTGGTTTTACTGCCAACTTCCTGCCCAGCTGTTTATTAACCAATATATATATATATATATATATATATATATATATATATATATATATATGAAAAGGATTATTACACAAAATTTTCCTTTTTTTGTCTAATTAAAAATGAAAGTTTTGCTGGGTGGTGGTGGTGCACGCCTTTAGTCCCAGCACTCAGGAGGCAGAGCCAGGCAGATCTCTGTGAGTTCGAGGCCAGCCTGGTCTCCAAAGTGAGTTCCAGGAAAGGTGCAAAACTACACAGAGAAACCATGTCTCGAAAAACCAAAAAAAAAAAAAAATGAAAGTTTTAACCTTAATATAGTAAACCATATACAACTAAAGGAGTTATTAAGTAAGAATTACAGTAACAATATCCAATCCATTTACATTTGACAAAATTAGAGAAAATACTTATCTATCTTATCTTCGTTTGTCTAAACTTTTGTGTCTTATTTACTTTCTATTATAACTAAGGAAATAATGATTATAACTATTTAGTCCTCAATTTTCTCAAAGACCCCAGAAGTGTGAAAAATTACCTAATGGCAGGGACATCAGGTTACCTGGACAGTCACCCAAAGTTCCTCTGTAACATTTGATGCAGCAAACTCTGACCTACTGTTCAAGCATATCTGCTGGGCTTTCCTGTGAAGCAGAGGAGTTTGAAGGACTGTCCTACACTATCTTGGAAAAGTTCAGCAGTCACCTTTCTTGCATCCTCCTGTGCCAGTTTAGACAGTAACTGTCAGTAGTTGAGGCAAGGGAAGTTTCTTTACCCCCATGGCTACCTTTTACCATAAAAAACAAACTCCATATGGAATTTCTCCAAAGCCCATCATCCTCTTTGAAGTAATTGGTGCTGACAGGAGCAGATTTGTCACACTGTCAAGAAAAGTCTAAGTTCTTACAACATTTCAAATATCATATTATTTGAAGTGTTTGAAGATTGCCTATCTATCTAGCTGCAATATAGCTCTGTATACCTAGCAGAGCTAACTAACATGACTATAAGTATGCTGGATCCTCACAGCCAGTAGCCTTGAAGTTGTTCTGATGCAGAACTCAGAGGGAACTACAAAAGAAGAGCTCGCAAACATTGCACCATCTGGGTTAATCTTTCCCACTAGAAATTTTTCAGGGGGTCTTCCTCATTCAAACTTGATTTTTATTAACCCAGAATAAATGCAGGGCCTCTCAGTTCCTGTTGAAATAAAGGCAGATCCTCTTTCTCAAAGTAACATATGTTTTAACTAAAATTTTGATATCAAGATATTTTGAAAATGTATAGGTTTTTTAACCTAGAAGCTTTCATAATCAAATATTTCTTAACAATTATCATTTGTTGATGAGTAGTCAAAAAATTAAGACAACACAATAACATACAGTATCCAGATTCTCTGTGTGTTTTCCATATTTGTGTGGCTTATTATTTAAGGAACTTACTTAATTTTAAAAGTATATTTTTTAATCAAGGATTATATATATTCTTTTTTCTCTCTCCTGAGCATATGCATTTTTTAAACACACTATGACCTGTTAAGAGGCTCTTTTTGTTTGACTCTGTCCTTACTGCACATTGATAACCTTTTCTGTCTGCATGAACAAAAAAACTGCAATGTAAGTTAAATCATGGCATACTGGTGCTAGCTCCTCCCTCTTGATTCACTGAGAGTCTAGTCTCATGGCAGTGGCACATTTACCACCAGCATTGGGAGCCATGTTTACTTCCTGATCTCTAGGAAGTTTCAAGGTCAATGTTAGCACAGAGTAGCATGCTGTCAGTTGCTCATAAACACCATGTTAAGTTTTTGGTAGTAGGGCCTCTTATAAGAGCCACTACCCATTTTTGATGTGAGTACTAGACAAGAAAGCCATCTCTTAAAGAAGGCATCCATGTGCTCCCTGCCAGCATATAGAGCCCACTGAAGAAAAATTACTACCAAGAAGCCATGTTTGACAACATTTTTGTATGTCTAGTATTCTTTCTTAAGCTTTGTCACGTTTTATGTGGAAATTTCGACACACACTGGAATGACATATGTAAAGGGACCTTTTCTATCCCAACTGCCTAGTCCCAACTAACCAACTCAGAGGCTGAATATGAATTATAAATGCTTGGGAAATAGCTTAGTCTTGAAACACTATGAAGGTGTTGTCTTTAGCAATAGGGCCTTGCTGTCATTTTGTGAAGAGCAGCCTATAGCATGTGTTGTTAGGGGTCCCAGTGAGGTCCCTTTGGCCAACAATTCAATTAGATGTAATCAATCCCAGTAGTAGAAAATCCCTGTGGTGACAAGAGATGGCCATTTGGAACACCATCTCCCCCATTACTAGGTCATATTATTTAGATGGTTCTCATATGTATATATAATATATCAGGTTGCATATGTTCCTTCAAATATCCCTTAATTTTAGCTGTATCTCCTCATAGTCCCGGCTCCCATTCTCTCTCCTTTCAGCCTTCTCACTTGATCCTACCATTCCATCACTTACCCATTCATCCATAATTTGCCCTCTATGTTTATATTTTTAATCGTTATTGCATGCTGAGGGGACTTTCATTCCCAATTCAGCCTATTTGGTGTTCTGTATACTTCTTTCACTTTGATAGGCATGTCCTTCTTTAGGTTAGAGGAATATTTTACTATGATTTTGTTGAAAATATTTTCTGTGCCTTTGATCTGGCTTTTTTTTTCTTCCACTATTCTTATTATTAGACTTGTTCTTTTCACAGTTTCCCAGATATTCTGAATATTTGTGACAGGAATTTTTTAGATTCAACCTTTTCTTTGACAAATGTATCCATTTCTTCATGAATGAATTCATTCATTTCTTGTATTGTATTCATGAAACTCATATCTGAGTTTCCTTTTTGAGTTCCTAAGTTTTTCTTTTGCAGATTTCATTCAATTTGGGTTTTCTTGATTGATTCTGTTTCCATTTTCAGGTCAGTGGTTTTATTCATTTCCTTCCACTGTTTGTGTGTTCATAGATTTCATTATGGGATTTATTTTGTCCCTCTTTAAGGACCTCTATTTTCCCCATACAAGCTATTTTAGGGTCATTTTCTTGTTCTGCACATATGTTGGAATACTCAGTGCCTGTTGTAGTATAGTTGGTGGGTTCTAGTGAAGACATACTGTCTTGGATGTTATTCATTGTACTTTTGGGTTATCATATAGTTATCTGGGATTGGGAAAATTGTAATTCTAGGTGGTGATATCTTATCTTGTCTTTGTTGGGTTAGTGTTATCTTCCTAACTTTTGTTGCTCTGTCTGATGCTTAGGAAAGTGTGGCGGCAATGTGTTGCTAGGAAATTCTTCTGGGATCCTGATAAGTGTGGCCACTGAGAGTTCCAGGTAAAATGTTTCCAGATATAGAAAGCTGACACTTAGCAATGGGGATCTTCTAGGAGGGTCATAAGAAGGTCCACAGGAGGGAAGACAGAAGAGCTTTCTACAGAAGCTGCTTAGCTAGTCACTTGAGAATGGGGCCACTGAGTGAGGTCAGGCTACCCCAGAAGGTTCAATATAAAGCTGTGAATAAGACTGAGGAATAGACTTGGAAGAATGGAGGGGGAGATGAACATCTGCAGTTAGCCTACCTGCTTCCGTGGTTAAAGTGGCCTGTAGATACTCAGGGAGTGTCCTCTGGATTTCAAGATTTACTAGAACAAATCAAAGTGTAGGGAGAAGAAACTTTGGAAGTTAATCTTTCTGTTATTCACATGAGACAGTTACATTTAGTGAAGGGAGACTGTAGCATGTGTTGCACACAGAGCTGGAAAAGTGAGTAGTAGACTGGACTTGAAGGAGCAAATGGAGAGGTGAAGACCTGCATTTAGCCTAACTTCTTCCCTGCCCAGCTTGGACTGTGGATTCCTGGAAATGCATGATGGAGCTGAGGTGTGGAAAAAATCAATGCATTGATTTAAGGATGTTACAAGTGGTTTGGGAGATCCACTAGAGATGTAGGTGTCTAAGACTGTGTTCTGCAGTGTTGGGCGTAACCCTGGGGAACTACACTCAAAGGAATGAGGGGGAGGTGTAAATCTTTAGTTTACCTCTTAGCTGGCCACAATGGTCTTTGGTTTCCAAAAGAGGTCCTTTAGGTGTTGGATTTTGGGATAGTACAATGAATTGGAAGACTGACTTTAGAAGATCTGTGGAATTCACTGTAGATGCAGGGCAGAGTGCCACAGATTTTCTGTTGCATAACTTGGCATGAGACTGGGGAATTGGATCTAGAGGAGCACAGGGAAAGGTAAAAATCTGCATTCAGCCTACCTGCATCCCTGGAAGGAGTAAAAAAAATTCCTCCTTTTTTTTAATTAAGGGGAGTCCAAAAAATAATTTTTAATGAATAATGTTAAGGAGCATCTAAAACAGGAAATTGCATTATTCAAGAGGAATTTGATCTCTTAATGGTATAATCCAGTAACAGAAAGTTTCCACATAAGTATCAATGCAAAAGACTCTTTGGTCTTTTATGAAATGTTTTATTTTCTCATCATAAAATTCAATATTCCCCAGGAAGCTTTCTTACTCAGATATCTCTAATGCATGTTAGTGCAGTTTCCCATGACTTTTCTTTCCAACCATTCAACACATTCTTTTCTGTTATTGCCATGTTTGTTTACTTTCCCGTGATATATTAACTAAATCTGTGATAAAATATGTAATAAAAGTTTTGAGACAAAGATACCTTTATGCCCCCAGGAGAAAGCTGGAATTCAAAGCAAAATCCCAGATTCTGCCTTCTTATGACTATTTTCTAGTATTAACCCAGTTGTGGCAGTTGTAATTCTAAAATATGGGTATCTAAAGCAAGAAATCCGTGAGTGTGATATCCATCTGATTTACAGCATGAGTTAAAGCTCAAAACAAACTAGTATCTCCAAGAAGTACCCCTATGTAATAATTATTGAGATCAGTCTTATGAAAGTGTAAAACTATAATATTCTCATTTACCTATAGGATATAGTATTACATGGTAAAAAAAAAAAACTTCTCTGAAATTCTTTGTGCACATTGCCTTCATTCTCATGGATCATTGTCTAGAATTATTTCTATAAATCTCTTTGAACATCACAGGTTAGTTTGGGCATGGTGGTGCATACCTTTAATGCCAGCACTTAGGTGGCAAAGGCATTTAGGTGGATTTCTGAGCTCTTTGAGCTTGAGGTCAGTCTGGTATCAGAAGCAACTTCCATCTCACCAGACAGAGCTCCATAGTGACATCCTCTCTCAACAAAAAACATCCCAGTACATTTAGTAGGTGGGTTATCACACACCTGTGAACACAGCATTACAGAGATGGAATCAGGAGCATCATATGTTCAAGGACTTCATCCACTTTGAAATAAGTTTGAGAATAGCATTGGTTATATGAGTCCCTGTCTCTAATATCCTCTCCTCCCTGGAAGAAATTCCAGTCTCTGTCTTTTAGGGCACAGATCAGCCAGACTGAAGCTCCCTCAATATAAAAATGCTGTGTGGGTCTCCTCCCCTCTCTACATGGCCTGTTTCTTTCTGAAATCCTTTTCAATGTTTTCTCATTTCAAGTTGCCATATCTTTCTTCATGTCCCTTTTCATCCTCAGTCCATAGTTCGCTTCTCTGTGTCTGTTCTCTCAGAACTTTCTGTTGATTACCTTCATTTTTGTTTCTTCTTCTTTTAGGACACAAAGAGCACCATAAAGAAGATTTGTGACTTCCTAGGAAAAAAATTAGAGCCAGATGAGCTGGATATGGTCCTCAAGTACAGCTCCTTTCAAGCCATGAAAGAAAATAACATGTCCAATTATAGTCTGGTTTGTGAAGATCTCTTTAATAATGGTTTTGCTCTCTTGAGAAAAGGTAAAGAAATTTTCAAGATTTAAATTATGTCAGAACATGTGGGGGACTTGTTGTTCCAATGAGACTCAGAGACTTTAGAGGGGAATCATTCCATGGTGATGAGGTGGGCTTCAGTAGTTCTGAAAGATGAACACCTTGGGATTGCAGATCTTTTTTTCCAATACCGTAAATGAAAAACAAAAGGGTAGACATGTTGCAGTAAGGCTTTGTAAGGATCCCTGAATCATAGACCTCAACTCTAAAGAAAACACTTGGTGTGTGGCACCAAAGATATATCAGGGATGACAATGACAGAAAGCAATTCCATTCATGGCTAATTAGCATATAATTAGTGAGATGGGCCTTGGCATTGAAGAAGGAATGAATGAGATGTCAGGTCTTTGGGGACAAGTGAAGAACATGTGTAGAGGTAAATGAAGTGGAGAGTTATGGGTTTAATTTTCATCTTCCAATTATTTACATGCTTCCGCCTTAACCTTCAGGTCTCCTCCACTCTAGATTGTAAGGATAAGGTCCTCAAATATAAAAATATCGTGAGTATACATATAGATAAATAAGTTAAAGTGGATAGCTGATTATATTTAATCCAGTATTCCTGGTGTCCTCACAAGAGGAATTTTGGGCTCAGATTTGAGCACACATACAATTTACTTCAAGAACATTGTCATCTATAAATAATGGAGTAAGATCTCTGGAGAATGCACTGCTATTGACAGATAACCTCAGACTGCTGTGCTCCAGACTCTGTGAACACAGAGTTGTCTGCACTAGAACTGAAGGTCCCACATAAGATATGTTGTTCACTCTTGAATTTCTTGTAATGAATCAGAATTTGGCAGTGATAAGACAGTTATGTATACATAAAAAGCTTTAATGAAATGCCAAAATGAAAGAAATATATTTTTTAAATAGGGAAAGTCTACGGAAAATAACAAGTAAAAGTTTTGTTAGAAACACAATGGAGCAGATGCAATAGAATTAAGGACACAATTCCATGAACAACTGTCATTTCCTGTTTTCTATGTAGATTCTTACATGATGAGACCACAATGGAATTTTAGTTAAGTCTCTTCCAAAACATAGTAAATTTTCATATATTATATACCTTAGGAGGAACACACCCACACACACACCCACACACCCACACCCACACCCACACACACACATATATATATATATATATATATATATATATATATATATATATATATATATATATATATATTAGCTCTGTCCAAGCACCTGAACTGAGTCCATAAATTATTTCTAATTTATAGTAAATATATATGACATTCATTTCTTTTGTATTTGAAGATAACTTTTACTCTGGGGAATTATTTTTCTTCTACTCACATTCATTATAACCCATGAGTCCCAGTGCAAACAAGGACATTGAAGGCAGAGAGCAACTTCATTACTCACCCCAACCTGATTCATGACTTCATTATAGAGGATGCTGAGATGGATATCTGGGAAACACTTTTGAAAGAATTAGATACATGAGGATAGTGTTGTAGTGTTGGTCTTTTTAATTCCTACATCAGATTGGTTCCTTTTTTATTCTTGAAGGTATGATCAGAACAAAGATAAATGCTAAAATTAATTTAATTACTTACCAGTAGATACCTAATTCCCTAAATCATGATGCGTGAAAAGCTTTGCTAACTCTTACAAGTGGCCTTAATTGGGAAGAATTCTTTAGACCTATTTCACTGTCCTTTAGTTGCACTTCTCAGGACCCAAGAAAAATACCTCTTCTTACCTCTGGAGAGCTACTTTTTACTTAAAAGACTCAGTCATCTGACTCGGTGGGATGAATATGGTTTTAAGCTTCGAGCAATAATTTCCTACAAACAATTTAATCATTATGAGTCCATATTTTGATACTGCAGGAAATAAAGACCAGAGAGATGGTCATTCCCATTCATTCACTGTTTACTTGACAGAACTTTTATAAAGACATTGTCACAATGAAGACATGAGGAAGGAAATGTCTTCTGACAAACTTCAAAGGTTTTGGACCTCAGTACTTCACAGTGGATGTTTCCTAAATAGAATGCTTGAGCCATGAATCATTTTCACTGGTGTCCTTAGAAGGCATTAATCTGAGACATGGCGGGAAGAAGACCTAGAGGAAAGTCCATTATCTGCAGGCCAATAAAAAGCCAGGGAATATCTGGACAAAAACCTTTTGTGAGAATTGCCTCCTCCAGGACTATGAGAAAGTTCATTTCCAACATGAGTTAAGCCACAAATTTAGGGTTTTCCTGTCTCCTGACACACAAGAGTTTGAGGAGATTTTTAGAAAGAATGAATGAAGAGAAATATATGCTTGTAAGGGCCATGGGATTTTGACATAATTAGATTTACAACTTCATGTCTGTACCTGCAAAGACATGCTTCTCTCATCTGGACTGATTCAATCCAAGTGGACAACCATATTGAATTTACTGAGACTCTGTTAGCTCAGCATCCAGTCTGGCTTATCAAGAGCCAGGTGTGCTTTGGAAAGCAATAAAGAAACTTGTTCTAATACTGAATATAGTAATAAAGCTGAAAATAGCAATGGACAACAATAGGTTCCCATCTTAATAGATGACTCTTTTTTTTCTTTTCCATTGGTCCACATGTCAGTTTTTATGCCAATACCAAGTTGTTTTTATTACTATAGCTGTATAGCAGAGCTTGAGGTCAGGGATGGTGGAGCTTCCAGAGGTAGCTTTATTATACCGCATTCTTTTAGCTAATGTGGGTTTTTTGTTTTTCCATATGAAGTTAAATATTGTTCTCTCCAAGTCTATAAAGAATTGTGCAGAGATTTTGATGGGGCTTGCATTGAATCTGTAGATTGCTTTTGGTAAGATTGCTGTTTTTACTCTGTTAATCATTCCTATCAGGAGCATGGGAGATCTTTCCATTTTCTGATATCTTCTTCAATTTCTTTCTTCAGAGACTTAAAATTCTTATCATGCAGGTCTTAAACTTGCTTCACTAGAGTTACCCCCAGGTACTTTGTGTTATTTGATATTATTTCTGGTTATTGTAAAGGGCGGTGTTTTTCTAATTTCTTTCTCAGCCCTTTTAGAAATATTCTAAACCACACTGTTTTTGCTGTTAGCTCAGGTTTTTCTGTCCTGCATTGATATTCCATGGATCTCAGCTCCGGATGCCTTGTGCTGGTTCTGGCGTCCACCATTCTTAGCTTCTTACCGGCTTCTGGAGCTTTTGAAACCATTCAGACTGCCTACTTTGCAGTCTACTAGGACACTATCTGTGTCTCAGGTGTTTTCACCATATACATTAAGAATAGACTCACACTTAACATTTACACTTTACAAACTCACATATAACATTTTTTGCCTTGCAAAGCATTTAGACTCATATTCAACATTTACACGTTTTTACAAACTCACATACAACATATTAACATCTACTTATTTATACTTTAAGGAAACTATAGAACTACTCATTCCATCTTATTTCTTATTTAAACTTACATTTACAACTAGCATCTTACAAGCTTATTACTACATGTCTTAAGACTACCTTAGATACTT